CATTGCCACTTTAACTTGTTAAAGTAATAGAGTTTATTTTCGTAAAGAGACGAACGACATAATGTAAGCTTCATCACTGAACGAAATAATAATTTACAGTCCCGTTCAGAAGTTGATTTCGTATAAAGCATGGTAATTGGACATAATCTAACAATCTCACGATCTGAATTGATGAAAATCATGAGGAAAAAACTCATAATGTTGATGTCGAAGTTGAATTCAATAATTTAAATACAGATTGAATATAAATGGGGAGGAAAATTAAATTTCATCAAACGTGATCGCGTTTTATCATTCAATTATTTATTATTAAATATCGAATGACATAATATTATAACTTTAAACGTGCGATTTTTAAATGGAACGTGAGAAAAATTTGCGAATACGCGACATTGATTCTTATCTAATCATTTTATGGAACTGGTTTCGTGAAGGTAAATCCACGGAATAAATCTACGACGATTCTTGCAAGGTGAAAGAATGAAAGAAAAAGAAACGAGTGTCGTAGCTCGGACCTGAAGAGAGTAGCGAGAGGAGGAAGAATTGAACGAAAACGGCATTGTTCGTGTATTAATTACAGACGCGCGTTGCAACAAAATGGCTGGGGAGGGAATTTACTTAATTAACTGCTTAACCAGTAGCGCTATCCTTTTCCTGTCAGCGGGACAGAGGTCCTGAATGTGAGGGAACGAGGAAGCCGCGTTCCCATTCGTGTCTGCGGTCTCGCCTCTGCATTTCCAGCAGAATTCCTCGCCGGCTTTCACCTCTTCGCTCTCTGTCGAGATCGTTTGTCTGCTCGAAGATTAAACAGTTACAACCAGTTTCCCCTTTATTAATGAAAACGAATAGACGCCACGTTGTTCGGACCTCATGTTACGCGCGAGCAACTGACCCGAGTCCACGACCGGGTTTTCCTTTGCTTCCACGAGCCAAGGAAACGAGAATATCTTGCGCTGACGTCGGGGAAATCCGAGGAACGTACGCGTCACGTACAGCTCAATTCCGCGTCCAGGATGCTATTTGTTAGGGAATTTCGGAACGAGGATGTTCGGCGACAATATCGTTAATGATTTGATTGCGTCGGGAATGCTAGGTACAAAGGAATGTACGTACAAGGAAATCAAAGCGACAGAAATTGGAGAAGAGATGAAACTGCCAAACGGGATGAGAAAATGGATGGGCAAAGTGGATGGCTTAATAATTGGAAGAAAGGTAACATCGGGTTAGGCGAAATGAATTGTTCACTTTGATCTCGAGGTATATTTATCCATTTCAAGCCTTACGAGGCAGGAGAAGTTTGATTTATAGCGCGTCGAGTTACACGTTTGCAACAGCGGGGGACGAGGAACGAAATGGTTGACAAAAGTTTTCGTTGCGATAAATATTTCCTACGTGACAAATCCCGATTTATAATCTCGCCGTCCATCGGTATTCACGTGTACTTACGCGTTTAATTATTAAATTTATAGTCGTTCTGTACTCCGATTGCGAGAGTGAAATATACAGGACAGGGAATTGAAGCTCGTGCAGAACTTTTGATAAGAGATTTTGATAAAATTTTCAATAAAATAAAGTAAACAAAATTTTCGAGCGTGGAAAAGCCACACGTAAATAGAGCTCGTCGACCGGTTCGAATTCTCGGAATCCTCCGAGTTTCCGACGAATAAAAAAATCCATTTCGACGCGATACTTGTAAATCTTTCATCCCTGAAAAAATTCCGAACCGGACGAATCGAACGCGACTGGAGTCGTAATCAGCCGTTGCTGAACGCGCTTCAGCTTTAACCTAGTTACATACATTTCGTATTATCGACGAAAGATCGACTACGAAACTACCTTTGTCGTCCCGGTGCATGTACTCGTTCTCTTGATACATCCGCAGAGTGTGCTGATGGAGTCTGGCCAATCTGCACGGAGCGGAATAAAATCGGTTTGTTAAAATCGACTCTGCCCCTTCTTAAAACCATCGCAACGTTTGCAACTTGGGAACTACGGGAGAAACAAAGAAACGGGAGAGAGGAAGAGAGAGAGAGACGAATTCGACACGTTTCACCTCTTGCTCCATCTAATATATGAATTCATAAGCGCGCCGTCGTCGTAGTCGTTCGAATACATGCTTCTCTCGGCGGTCCCAGGGCGATCGTGCACAACCGGCAAATGATTACCGGCCGTAGAAGGTCAGAAGTTGAAACGAGCAAGTCGAGCCGGATTCTTGTGCAACGTAGACAAATCCCGCGAGGATGCCGATCCGCTTTTGTCCGGAGAACACTCGACGCGCTCGGTGTCCCGCGACGCTCTGAAGTTGGATTCACGTCGAGTTTTAAACGACAGTTTAATATCCCACGAACTGTAACAACGTCCGAGGATCTTTTCGATTGAGGAGCCCACGGAACGTTGAATCGTCGATGAAACGGCACGAGAACACGAGCCATGCTGGACGAGAAATTAGATGAGTGAGAGATTCTAGATCGAATTATCGGCTCGATGACTTGTTACTTCGTTTTCATTATTTCGTTTCAGGTTACAGGTTGAAAGGGGGAAACAGGGCGGGAGTGACAGAGATTGGATGTTTCATTGAAATATAATGGTGTCGTAGTTTTCGTGTCTGTGAAATATGTTTTTTTGAGTAGCCTCTTTTTATCTCGCTTTACTCTCTGCGGATCATATTTTATATACTTCGAGCTGGAGTTTCAGAGTCGTGGGAATTCGAATCAAATTACTGGCTGGATAATTTGTTATGTTAGTTTTCATTTCGTTTTGGGTTACAGATTGACGAGAAAAATGGAAGAATGATGGAGATTGGATAACTGAATTTTACGAGTAAAATTAGTGTGTTTCGTTGAAATTTAGTAGGCGTTCCAACTTCGGTGCCTACAAAGTGTATTTTATATCTCATACAATACATTGGTAGCCTGGTCTCCTTGTATTTGGCTCTACTTACACAGTCTCTGTGTATTTGCAGATATCATATTTTATACATTTCGAGCTAGAATCTCAGAGTCGTGGAAGCTTGAATCAAATCAGTTTTGCTCGATCACTTTTCTTTTTCATTTTATTTCGCTTTGTACAGGCTGGGAAGAAAGCTAGAGAAACGAGAGTTCTATCTTCTACCTGCTTACAAATTGAGAAAAGAAGGGAGATCATGTCTGGATTGCATGTCTGAATTTTATTCACAAAATCAGTGCGCTCTATTTCGATGCACTTACAAGTGTCGCAGTTTTTGTGCCCGCGAACCATGCTTAATACATCTACGTATGTTTCGACGATATTCGTACATTCGAGGAAACAAAGATTTTGAACGAAGATTTACAGGGAAATGAGAGATGCATTGGACATGGACATTCGCGCTATTTCTTCTCTCTCACAAATCGAACATTAAGATGAAACTTAAACCTCGAAGAGCACACGGGAAAAATAGAGTGAATTAGAGGCTAAGGACAAATATTTTTTCTTTTCTTTTCTCTTGAAAATCTTGCAATAAATTATAAAACTTTGTGTCTCTGATTTATGGTGGACCTCTGTGTTTATTATTTTAATGCATTTTTTCTCTTAACGAATTTTCAAATTTTTAACCCTTTCGGTGCTTAAAATCAGCGAAAGTCTAAAAGTTTAATTATAAGCATACTAAGAATGCGCATTTATTTTTCAACATTTGTCTTTCGTTATATTTATTATCGCCAATTATTTTATTGCAAGATCATTCGTATAGTACGCATTCAAAAGGTTAAGCACATTATCGACCAATCACAAATACTACACAGTTTCTTTCAACTTTGTCAAATTACAATATCCAAGCGGCGGAGAAGTCATTGATTCACATCCCCTTCGCGGCGTATCAAAGAGCGAAAAATTACCAATCTGAAATTGAAATTCGTTTGACAGTCGCTGAGAAAAACACTCGACGAAACAAACTGATCGAGAAAAGGAAAGAATCGGACCTCGACGGGTGAACCCTAAAGTGAGATTGAATCTCGGTGTTCAGAATTCAAAGATTACTTTTTCCTGCGAAAGATGAGAGACACATTTTCCACCCGTGGCTTTCGATCAAGAGTCCACTGGTCCACTGTCGCCAAATAATCGTTCTTTGAAAGCACACACACACACACGCACGCACGCACGCACGCTGCTTTCAAGAAAAATCCACCGACAACGAGTTACGTTCACTCCTTGGACGCTGTTGACGTGCATTCGTGACCGATCGGTTGCTCTATCGTGGAGTTTCGGTGACTTCTCAGCCCGTCCTCGACGCCATTTGGACACGCGGCTAGACTAATGGTCGTTTCCTGTTCCTTGATCGGGACACCGGCCTTGGTGTCGTTGCCGAGGATGGACATGTGCATGGTGCTTCGTTGTCGTCGAGAGTCGTACCTCTTGGAGCTCATCAGCGAGAAACTTTGGCCCCGGCGTGAGCTCAGGTCTGACGAGCGACGGTGTCGCCTGCGGATTCGCCTCGGTATGCAACAAAGTAGATACCTGCAGCGAAGTTTGACACAGTTTAACGACCACGGGTCTATTAATTGACTTTAATGGTGTTATACGGTCTCCCACGAGCTAATAAGAAAGGGATAAACCGGCTATTACTCCGCTTCGCTCGTTAACTTCGCCGGTTTAATTGCAGCCGGTGATTCGAGTGATAAATTTGAAACGCGGCAACTATCGTTCAAAAGAACTGGATCTGTTAGAATCTCCTAATCTCCTAATCGCGTTATTTTAAGGGAATGTTCTAATTAAGATCTGTAATATCTTTTTAAATAGAAGGCTAATCAGCGCGATTAATTTTCATTTTCCGTGCAGGCATGCCTCTCTTGTCACAACCCTTCGTCTCGTCGAACAAAATTTACTTGCAATATCGTAACAACTGTATTATACTGACTAAACTGTCCCGTCGTTTGACATTTTAATAGCAGAAGAACATTTACATGGCACAACGAGAAGCGACTCGCATTGATTGGCTCCAGATTTATCTTTCTAAAAGAAACAACCTGTCGTTTCAATCGGCCAGTTCAAACGACGTTTAAAATTATTTAAATGCAGGCAATAGTACGTGTAACAAACAAGTATGTACATATCTTTTAATAATTGACCTCGCGGTACACACTCTGACAGAACTGAAATATTAAAACATCCAGACATTTGCAAATGGTAATTGTAATCGTTCGAACGGTGAACATTTGCACGAAACGTCAGTTGGAAAAATGTACGTGATTGAGAGCGTTCAATTGAGAATTGCATAGGTGTGGAATATAGAATACGAGAAAGATAGTTTGATGCTTCATCCCGGGCTGGCAATAAATATTCATGGCAACTCGCCTGGATTTTTCGTACGAGCTAAGCCGGGATTGATTTTCAAAGAACAGGGTGAAATATATGGCACATTATTAATTGTCGTCGCGATCTAGTAGTCAGCAATCAGCCAACTTAATTTATTCTTCATTAATCGATGAATTTTTCTAAAATTATTCTGTTGAAATTAGTCACGACTGGTGTCGATCTGGTATCTTGCTTGCTCTTATAATTTATCGTTAACTTAATTATTTGACTTCCACTATAATTTCTTGTTCAACTTTTTTGACTAATTGTAACAAGCTTGAATTTTTCTAAAATTATTCTGTTGAAGTTAGTCACGACTGCTGTCGATCTGATATCTTGCTTGCTCTTATAATTTATCGTTAACTTAATTATTTGACTTCCACTATAATTTCTTGTTCAACTTTTTTGACTAATTGTTTAATATCCCAGTTCTCTTTTGTAACAAGCTTGAATTATCTTGTGAAATATATATAATTCTTTAAGTACACTACGACATGGCGATCCCTATGGTGCCGAAGACCTCGCACTTGAGATTGACTGACTGAGAAATTTGTGGGATGCTTAGTCGGAATTCTACGTGTATATACATCTACGTGAATGTTAGAATGGAATTTAATTAATACGGAATAATATTGATACGAAATTCTACGTATACCTACTAGTTCTAACGTGGATGGTTGAATATTTGTAATTTGCCGCGCTAAATTGGAGCTTATCCACGTCATAACTGGCACGTACTCTTGGCCGTAACATTATCAGTGATTCGTGAAAATAGATTAGCTCGAGCGTCGGGTGTAAAAAATCTCGAGTTTCCTTCTAACGAGAGAACTAGAGAACGATCGTGTTCTTTCAGGCGGGATACTAGTCATTTCAGATGATTGAAATTGATTTTGCCGTGCGTTTCGATCGAATGCAGAGCGTGTAATGTTTCAAACAGGCATACCTATCGAAGTATCTTCTGAAGGTGTTGCTCACGCAGTACAGTGCAATTGGATTGATGCAGCTGTTAGTGAAAGCCAGGCAGAAGCTGAGAATCCGGAAGTAATGCCAGAAAGCGTTGTAGTCCCTCTGAGCGGTGGGATAGATGTAAAACCACAGCATGAACACGTGCTGGGGGAAGAAGCACACCGCGAAAACGATCACGAACGCCATCACCATTTTCGCCACTTTTTTCCGAGCTTTCACCTGCTTCACCTGCGAATCAAAAGTCCTGCGAAATACGTGTGCTTTCTTTTTTCAACGAGAAACGTTTCGAATTTCACGGAAACCGACTCTACTATTTTTCTGATCTTCCCAGTCTCGACTCTTGATGGTATTCCGATATTCGTCCAACAGATAATTTCCCTTTCATTCAACCTTGAAAATTTCGCGTCTGGA